CTCAAAACGATTTTGGGACGAAATGATAATAAAATTGAACTAAGAGTTTATTTAAACCTTAATAATCCCCATGTATAAAAGATAATTGCAAATCAACCAGTATAATGCTAGAAATGAAGTGGAGAAACCACCTAGAAACCTTAATTAATTGCCTTGGCAATGGCCGTGAGTTGTTGGACGAAGTCATTAATGGTCTCATCAAAGCTCCCTCCTTCACTGATTGCTGTCTTAGCTATTTCCTTCCATTTGTTAGCGTTTCTCTTAAACTCTTTGCTCCTCTCCCCTTCCATCACTTCCTTGAAGCACTTAATCAGCTCTTCTTTCCTCACAACTCCCTCCTCATCCTCTTTGGCTCTCACTCCGATCCCCCAAATCTCCTCCACGAACTTGGCATCCGTCAACTGATCCGCCCATTTCGGCACACCGATCATCGGCACGCCGAGGCTCAGCCCTTCAAGGGTCGAGTTCCACCCACAGTGTGTCACGAAGCACCCCACGGCCGGATGTGACAGCATTTCTAGCTGGTTACACCATGTTACCACCATGCCCTTCTCCTTGTTTAAGTCAAGGAACCATTTGGGTAGCTTTTTCTGCTCCGATTTCCGGACGATCCACAGATAATGCAGATTGCTTTCCTTCAAGCCGCCGGCGATCTCTTCCATTTCTTCCTCAGTTAATGAAACCATGCTCCCGAATGAGATGTAGACCACGGACTTTGATGGCTTTGTTTCTAGCCATTCCATGCACTCTTCGCTTAATGGCTTCCATAAACTCGAACCATAGCTTCGGTCACCTTTGATCCTTTCGTCGAGGTACGCAGACGGTACCATCGGTCCGATCATCTTCGCTCGCCAGAGCTCCGACGCGCCTTTTGCTTCCTACAACAATACGTAACTAAAATATAACAAATTTGTAGGTGACGATGATTGTACGTAGGGCTAGTAATCAAAATATATACCTCCGTTTCCAAGTCTTCAAAGGTGTTAGCGAAAACCCAATCAGCTTGATTCAAAGTCGTGAACTGGCTTAATTTCATGGCCAAGTACGCAGGATAGCTATCCGGGAACCGAAGAAAAGTGGGCAAATCACGGAAGTTCAAAGGAGGAAGTCCCGGTAGCATTAACGGTGTAGTTTCAGGGGTGAGCGGCAGAGCAAGGAGGCCATGGTGTATACGAGAAAAGATACTACACACCGCGGCGGAGTTCGTAAAGAACGAAGCACAGTGAATCCCTTGCTGCTTCGCCACATCAAGAGCCCACGGCAGGAATGAGTCATACACCACGCAAGTAACCGGGGTGCCGGCGTGTTTAAACTTGTGGATGAGCCGAGTCAGGGTTCGGGACCCTTGTTCCCTGAACGACTTCAGGTAAAACTCGACGTTTCCGGCTTGGGAATAGCCGCCTTCGTCGAACCCATCGGAGATAGCCTCGACACCGATTTGCGGTGCACATATGGAACCGACGGTGTAACGCGTGGTAGCTAGTGTTGCCTTGACACCTTTAGATGCTAAACGCTTGGCGAATTGGAGAAGAGGGTTGATGTGGCCTTGGCTTGGGTATGGCACCACTATTACGTGCCCTTTAAACTGTTTGTTTTCCATCTTCTTCCTCTCCGGTGCGGCGGTTGCTCAACGGTGTGTCTCTGTGGTCAATTGTTGCCGGCGAGGGTGCGTTCTTATTGGCCAGAAGAGGAGAAATCTAATAATGGTTTGAGGGGGAGATTTTGTGTGAAGACAGGCAACTGACAGATCAATTAGACCATACACTATCGATGACGGCGAAAGAATAATACACAAATGTGTAATCTAAACACTTACACCTGTGATATTGAAGTCGGTACACAAAAAATATATATATCTTTAAGATCCTCGTGAGACGAGTCCTTTTTATTGTTCTCCCGATCCCCCAGACTTGAAAGTTATTAGATAATTCATTATTATCACGTAAGCAGACTGACGTCAACATGATTCCCTAATTGCTTACGAATTCCCTACTTGGTTTGGCGTCTACGAGTTTAAATATTAATAACTGATTGTGAAATAAAATATTTAATGTTTAAAAATAATTTAAACGAAATAATTATAACCGTAATATTAAAAATAGAATAATGGTCTAAACCTTTTAAAATTTATATATAATAAATAACTATTAAAGTAATATTACAATGAGATGAGAAAAAGTGAAAGAGCTTTTGAAGTATTATATTGATATTTATATAGAATAAACAATTAAATGATAAAATATTTTTATTTATATAATAATAATTAAAAATATTAAATTTAATTTTTATAAAAAAAATCTATTTATATAAAATAATAATTAAAATTTAGATGATGATAAGTACCATTAAAGTTAGTTGCAAGTTTGCAACCCTTGACTAGTGCCGGCAATTCCGCTCTAAGATTATCTACTCTCTATTTTGTTACCAAATTGGATTTGGATAAGGGCAACATTGGCCTTGGCTCCCAAAAAATAAGATTAATTTGCCTTCTAGTACCTTTACAAAGGAGAAAATTATACTTTAATCCTTTTAAAAAATTATAAATCAATTTTATTACTATTTAAGATAACATTTAAATTATGACGGTTATTTATGGTTCATTTCTTTTAACTTAACTGAAGAAACGTCATTGATTATCAACGACGGATTTATAGACGGTCAACATCTTTTGATTTATTTCCAAAGAAAAAAAATTCAAGTAGAAGATGGACAAAATGCTCCACTTCTTTAATTTCATATAATGATTTATATACCAACTCATAGTATTGGTGTAAAATTTAAGGTCATCATGATTATTTTTGGATTAATAAGTTATATGGATTTAACTGTTACACATTAAATTGTAAATTAACTCGATGTTACATTAAAAGATTGTAATTGTTCCGAGGACCTAGAACTCCAAAATTTTCAAAGGAGTTTGGAGGCTTCACCGCACGATAAATAAAAGAATAATAGCAGTGGTGTGATTTTCGTAGAAAAATTGGAAAATGTACAATAATATTTTATAAATTCATCTCTAAATTTAACAATACATATTAATTTAAATTATAAAATTAAATTTAAATACCAATAATATATTACCTCTTTTATCTGATTTACCAACCACGTTTATTCCTATTGTAAGATACTTTAATCGTTGAATTGCTACATATGATTTTTAAGAAACACAATTTAGATATGCTGCCAGCGAACTGAGTGAAGTCTAAATCCACAGCAGGCCGACATAGATGTTGGCACAGTGTTTGTACTTCTTTTCAGGGCTATACTGACGGGCATAAGTAGGGGTGTTATGAGCGACTTGATTATGAATCAAGTAATGTTCTATTCGTGTTTTTTTTAAAAAGAGTTTATTGCCTGGTTTAATTTATTATTCATTGTTTGGTTCGATTCATTATTCGTTAAGTTTGTCAGTATTTTTACATTGTTTTCTAACTATATATAAAATTTAACAAATTAATAATTAGTATGTTATTAACTATTAATTAATAATTTAATATATTATTTGTTGTTTATTGAAAAATAATAAATTATTAATAATTATTAACTAATGAATTAATATATTTCTTATTTTCTATTAGTAAATAAAAAATTAAAAGGCAATTGTTAAAATTTATTTAAAAAACTAATTAACTATTTGTGAATCCATCAAATCGAATTAGAGTATTAGACCTTGTTTGAGATAACTCATTAAAATATCAAATCGAGTTTGAGTCATCAAATTAAATATTAATTAAATTTTAACTAAATTAATTTCGAAATAATTGAATTTTAACTAAATTAAATTCGAATAATTTATTAACCGTTCAACTCATTAAGCATCCAGCGTAAGTAACAGGCGAGGTTAGCCCTCATAATTGACTATAATAGTTTTTGGGCTACACACAGTCCGTTATATCATAGGAAAACCTACGAACAGAAGTTGTTCCCTCGTAATGGTTGATATAAATTCGATCGATGGGTAATTTTGATATGTTAATAATAACCATTATAATATATTTATATTATGTAAATAAATGTAAAATATGATTATAATATAAATATGTATGAAATTATTCTTCTTTTATTTTAATTTAATTTTTTTAATTTGAGTATTAAATATGATTTTAAATCAGAGTATTTTTAGTTGATTTAAAGTGAAAATATCATATGTTTGGTGAGTTGCAATAATAACTCAATGTAGCCTCTTGAACTTTATGAATTATTTGTGTTTGAGTATGAATATTATATATAGAATTGTTTGAGTTGAGTTAGAGGTATTATACAATAATTTTATCATATCTATCGATAATATTATAATATTATATTTGTTAATACATGTTTAATGGTTTAATTTTTTTTCTACAAATCAAATCATTAAACATTATAAAGTTACATACATTATGAATTTTTTTATGAAACTTGACATATATAATCTATATGAATGAAACATGAAATGTGTCGTGATTGCACAAAAGTTATTGAAATGTGTAAAAACATTATATTTTTAGGGTGATTTTGAATCTATATGATATATTTATCATGCTAATTCATATCTATATTTTTAACGGAAATTCTTAATATGAATCAACTAATTAGATAATGTAAATTTATTTGAAATTTAACTGGAATGATCCATATGAATGGAACACGAAATATATTAGTCAAATTATTAAAATTATTAAAGTATGCAAAATTTATTTGTACAATTTATATTTATAAAAGAGTAAACTATATAAATGGTCATAAGAGTTTGAGTAAATTCATCTCTTCTCTACTGATATTTTAAAAATAATGATTTAATATTTTAAAAATAATAATTATATATTCTCTACTGATATTTTAAAAATAATGATTTAATATTTTAGAAATAATAATTATATAATTGACATTATCGATTTATAATATACCAATTACTCAATCGTTAATAATTATTACTAGAATAAATCAAGCAAGACAACAAGTTAATCAATTCATAGTTAAATTTACCATTAAAGATAAAAGAAAATTACCTGATGGGCAACGTGTATATGCATATAGCATTAAAGATGGTTCAACCACCCTGCCTAATTACTGGAGGTATCTGGCATGCACCTCGGTGATTGAAGAGAGAGAGATGGGACTGAATTAGCACAGCAGTACAGATTATAACTACAACAACATGGAACTTGGAACGTACAAACAGAGATATCAACTCTTACAAACTACCAGATTAAAACATCAAACTCCATAAGCATGAAATCAAACACACATTTGATCACTACGAGAGAGAGGTTTCTTAGTTTATCAGATGGGAAAATCAAGGGCACTTGAACTTGTTTCCATGGGTTCTCATATCAGTATAGCATCTCCCGCACCTTTCTCTGTTGCCCGAGGTGCCCGGCGGCACACATTTGCACCTGGCGCAGCAGGTTCCACATGCTCTTTTACACACGTTTTGCCTCGAGTGTAAAATGTACCTCGCCTGGCACAACCCTCCACAATCTGCAAACTCACCCATTTTCATGATTTTAAACAACAAAAAAGACGAAAGATTTAATGGTGGAAATAATTACCAACGAAATGAAAAAGCTTTCTTGTTGGTCCTTTCACCATCTGGGTAAGGTTCCGCTCTTCAATCGTGGTTTCTGAAGGGACCTGGAAATGTAAAACACAAAGGGTTGATTCTTGAAACGATTAAACAAGCTGTTGTTACAAGGAAATAACGTGTTTACCTGAACCATGCAGAGGAACAAAAGCAGAAGCAGGAGAGTAAGGCGAAACTCCATTAGAAAAGGTGGCAATGCTTAGCTTCTTTGCAGTGACAAATGATGCTGAGGCTTTGAAACTTGGGACTGCTTGGAAAATAGGCGCTTGGCCTTTTTATAATAGTTTCTTTCCTTTTTCAATTACAAAATCACCCTTCCAAAACTACACCCTCCACATCTGTACAAAATATGACGTGTATCATCGGCTGGGAATGTGCCAAATGAGCAGCATGAGAATCTAATGGGGTTTTCTCCATGGAAAGGCAGGTGTCTGGGTACATTGCGTTTGAGTTGAGGTGGGCGAAGGAATCAGGTTTAGGGAAGAGAGGGACAAGTGTGGTGGAACACAAAACAGAGAGAAAAACAAGGACCGTGAGAGGCAGAAATAGAGAAGGAGATGGCGTTACGGCACAACACAATACATTGCATCCTATAGTATATTCCATAGCATTCCACGTATAATCATGCATCCCCCATCACCAACTCATACATCCACTAAGACTCGTGATAGTTACATTATATCTTAATTAATACTAACTACATAAATAGTCTCTCAAACTTTTACCATGCTTACATTTTAGTTATGATCAAATCTTTAAAATCTGTAATACAATCCATATGTTTTTATTCGTTTTTTTTATTATAATCATAGTTATTATTTATCGTTTAAAAAATGACATAACACGTTAAATATTTCTAAAAATTCATAATTTTTTAATTGACAATTGTCAAAAAAAATTTGCATGCATCATTATTGTCTAACATTCTTACGATCGATGTCATTACTAAACACAACACTCATTCTATTCAAAAGTTTTCTACAACTGTTGAATCATTCTTCACCATCATCTCAATCAATTTTTGAATATTACAAATCATAGGTCACAACTATCATTCACGACTAGACTAATCAAAACTCAAGCTACCGTCACTGATCTCATTTGATCGCTATCCAAAGCTAAAGTCATCAATATATAACAATAGGAAAAAAAGAGTAGTTCTCATCTCAGTTTTTGTGAGTTTTTAATGAACAAAAGGATTGGATGTCAATCTCAATGGTGAGAAGGTTCAATTTAATTAGAAAATTAACATTATTAGATTTCATGGTGATATAATAATTGACAATAACAAATCATAAATTTTAGATTTTCGTTTTAGTTAAGATTTGAAAAAAAATAAATAAAAAATAAAAAATAATTCGGTAATCTTTTGGTAAAAAAAATTATTAAAACAATGGCTAAAGGAGAAGTAGCAACTGTCAATTTCAGATATTAACAAATTAATTTTATTAAAAGATTTTAACGTGTCATGTAAATTTTTTAACAATAAATAATAATAATTGTAAAAAATTAATATTTATATTATAAATTTTAATATTTTAATAACTAAAAATAAATGTCATAAAAGCCCAATGACTGTTTATGTAGTTTACTCTTAATTTTAAATAGAGAAGACAAAATACATTGGTTGCAATCAGGAAGACCGACAATATTTCCTGAGGAAGAATGCCACGTATGAAGTGGCAATACAAGGCGCGAGTTCCCAGTCCAGGGTTCTGAATTCAGTTGCCACCTGTTATCGCATAACCTCAGCATCTGTATTTTTCACTCCATGCATTCGCTAACAATTGCGAACCAACTCACAACTACTTAAATTCAGTAATTAACCTAACTCGGCAGCTCTTGAAGGAGATGATGATAAGCAAGGCCTAGGTGGGATGGTGAGTGACTCGGTACTCCCTTCCAACATCTCCACCACTCTACTCATCGATGGCCGATTTGATGGATCAGTTTGTATACACCACAAGCTCACTATTATCATCTTTCTGGCTTTCTCTTGCTCGTTTTCATTCCTAAAACCCTCTAATCCCAGTTCTTCATCCAATTGTACACGACTATAAATCCAATCCGGAAAATATACTTCACTAGTCCGATCAACTTCCACGTTAACATTCTTTCTTCCCCCTACCATCTCTAGAAGCATCATTCCGTAGCTATAAACATCGGACTTGTGTGACACTCTTCCAAAATTCCTCGAAAACACTTCGGGTGCAATATATCCGATGGTCCCTCTGGCGCCCGTCATGGAAATGAAACTCTCGTTTCCATGACACAGTTTCGCCAGACCGAAATCAGATATCTTCGGGGAGAATTTGTCGTCGAGAAGAATGTTATGCGGCTTGATGTCGAAATGAAGAATCCGTGTTGCAACCACAATGCAGATATTCAAGCCCTCTGGCTATGCCGATTGCAATCCGGTACAACTTCTCCCACTCCAATCGACGACCCATCTTCTCTTGAAATACAAACTTTTCGAGCGATCCATTCGGCATGAACTCGTAGACGAGAGCCCTGTGACGACCCTCAATACAGAAGCCGAGAAGAGATACAATGTTAACATGAGAAGTTCTGCTGATGCTTGCAACTTCATTGATAAAGTCTTCCCGTTACTCTTTGATTTATTCAGAATCTTCACTGCTACATGTCCTCCATCAAGTAGCTTGCCTTTGTAAACATCACCATAGCCTCCTTTACCTAGTTTGTCTCGGAACGAGTTCGTGATTTTCTTGATATCTGAGTATCTGTACCTTTTTGGAGCTAGAAATTCATGGTCCTTTAAGAATACTTCAATGTTCGTAGTTTCTCCTGTTCTCAGCATTAATGGGATCTTTTTTTTGAAGCAGAAGGTGAGAATGATCAAGACTAGTATTCCAATAATTGAAGAAGCTGCATTCAAAGAAAGGGTGCACGCCTTGGATCAAATATATTTCTTTAAACGAATTAATCTAAAATAAAGGTTAGGATTACCAAGTCCAAGGCCGAGCTTCAACCTCATTGTGTTCTTCTCTGCAATTCAGTTACAAACAAGTGCAAAGTTAGTCTTCATCCAAAAATAAAAAAAGAATGGGGCAGGCTGTACTTCATTAATTATGAAGGGTTGTTTATGAATTAATATATAGAAGTGCTGAAAGTAGGTCGGATATAAGAGGTGCTCAAATTAAATGTTATTGAATTCCAGGGGTTTGTATTGATTTCATCATTGAATTTTAATACTAAATTTTAGTGTTGGATTGTAGGCATTGGGCCTTTAAACCGTTAATAGTGTCATGGTAAAACCTTTTTTTTCCGTGAACTTTAGTTTATGTTTTGATTTTATTATTAAACTTTAAAACGTTTCATTTTCATACACTGAATTTTAATTTGTGTCATTTAGGTCCATGCGTACAATCTTTAACTTCTTCGGACATTGTGGTTGGTTAATCACAACTCATCAGTTGTCATTCACAATAAGATCAATATAAAATATTTGATTTCATTCATTTTTATTCTCATTTGATTGGTTTTTCACAAAATCCACATAAAATCGACGAGATATGTAGTTCATCTTATAAAAAATAATGCTACTGACCATTCAGATCTTTGAACAAACACTCAAAATCTTCAAAAATAATGAATTTTTATGTCTAATTTCGTGAGTTTTAAAAATGTTTTAGAAAAATCCAGATGGACACAGTGATAAAGAGAGATGAGACGAATTAATAAATGTCTAGGGTGATTACAAAAAATGCAAATGATTTTTAGAGATAATTGGAAATAAGTGAAAAAGAAATTCCAACTTTGATAAAGAAGATGATGAGATGAAATTAAAAAAAAATTATTCATTTGACTTATTCGTTAATACAATAAAACACCAAAATTATCATGTCTTATATTAAAGTTAAAATTAAAGTTAAGTGCGTACCGAACACGAAAATGATGTGAATAGATTAATTCCTCGTTGCTGAATCAAAATTAAAATCTAATGTTAAGATTGAAATAGGTAAATTTGATAAATAAATAAAAACTAAACTTTAATGACATTTGAAGTATATTAGACCAATCTTATTATATAGAATTCAGCCCGATAAACTGAATTGATAAATATTCTAGTTGTTCTATGGAGTTTGGCAGTATATATTAAAATTTGAAGGATTTTTTTTAATGATCTTGAAAACAACATACCAGGAGGACAGCGCGCGGCGTGAGGCCTATCGGGGCAAAAGCACTTGAAGTTGTAGGACCCGTAATCGAATCCGCATTTGCCACCACTCGTCTCGCAAACGTAACAATCACTCGCTATCCAATTCAACACAAACCCTCTCCTAACCACATCTTCCACATCTCTATCTCCGTCGGTAAAAGCCACGGGCGCCAACACACTTCTGCTACAGTTCCCGGAAAGTAAACTCACCTTAGGATCGCCATTCAACAGCCCCAACGTCGTAGTACTCTCATTCCCAGAACCACAATCAACCCTGTACCGTGAAAACTCCGCCATCACCCCCGAGCTTAAACTGCAATTAAACAGCAAAACCATAGCTCTCTGGTTCTCAGGCAGATAAAGCCGATAATCCGGAAGCGTTATATTCCGGATCGAGTGGCCGCACACGGCATCTCCATCAGCTCTCGAAACCAGAAAAGATTGGTTCTGATAAAAGATATCTTGGATAATATAATCGCCATCAGGCAACTTAAGAACTGCGGTCATGTTGTTTCTGCAGGAGATGTTGAATCTGGGATAGCCACATCTAGGTTCATCCAGCTCCTGGATGAAAAATGGGAACTTTATCAATTGTCTGCCACAATATCTTTGCACGCTACAGATTGTGAAGTTCTCGTCCACAGCTAAACCTTTTCTTGGCTGGAAAAAGAAACTGAAGAGAACCAAGTATACCACTGGAAACAACGTTGATGTAAGGTTAAAGGGATGGATTTGATTCATTTGTGGATCTTGATGTTTGGGAAAAGAGAGATGGTAGGGTGGAAGAAGATAACATATTATTATTAATTTTATAGTTTATAAAGGAGGAAAGAGAGCAAGTGGGCATAGAGGTAATTAAGTGATGGGAGACTTGGGGTTTGACTTGGTTATAGTCAGCCATTGTCTCTTAATATACGAGTTTAAGAAGACTTGTCCAAATTATCTGCCACACATCTTAGACAGTTGAATTTCAAGGCAATTTTCATAATTGGGAGTCGCTTTCGGAAAGTTGCATAAGTAGACCCACCTACAAGAATTAATGGAGGCAATTAAGTAAATTATTTTTTTTAATTTTTTATTCCAAATTGACGTTGGAAAACTACATGAATTCATACGAT